TTCCTTTACTTCTGCCGTTTTCTGAATTCTTGGAGACGATTTTCCGGGGTTAGGCGGGGTCGAGGTCTGATGGAATGTGTCAATGAGGTAGTTCTATCAGCTTAATCTCCAGCTCATCGAGCACGTTTTTGCTCCTTTTAATGCAATAATTATACTTGTACAATCATGCACTTGTCTTGTTCTACTGGCTGCTTGTGTATTTGAACTGGGGCCCTTACGATAACTCACTAACGACAAATACATTGCGTTTTGGACATGTCTGCCTGCCGTTTTGTCCTTTTACAATGCCCTTGACACATGGACAACTGCCTCTGGGCCGCTCATAATGGGTCCGTTGCCAACGCACTCTCGCACCAGTAATCATGGTACTAATACTGTACTACTAGTACTAGCACAATACATGTCCATGTAGTGATGTACTGTACAATCATGTACTATTGTAGTTGTACCTTCGCCTCACACCTCCCGGCATGTCCACCTACACAATAGAGCGCAGACCACTCGCACTAGACCCAGCGCTATAAACGTTCGGGACATGACAGTCACCCAGTGGACAGATGACAATCAGTCATGTTCAACACAGGCATCCATGCCCCTGGCGAGTATAATAACACAGTCAATGTGTCTAACGAGTATTATTATTATATTATTCACACATATCCGCCGGATGAGTACGCGTGGCCCATGCACCATGGGGACCCACGAATACAAACCAGCATATGTTCCCTCAGCAATACAAGCAAGCAAGCACGCAAAGATAAACGAGAGCCCAGGCAGCGAAAACAAAACGAAGAGAGATGAGGACATAGGCAACGAAAACAATTCCAAAGCATAGCCAGGGATTGAATGTGTGCATCTGGGTACGACAGTTAACACGGCTAGTGCAGCCGTACAGAGCGCAGCAGCATGCAAATACAAAAGCGCCACAGCAGCAGCAGCCAAGAGTGTGCAAACACTAAAAAAGAAGATCAGTCCATGAAAAAATTATTGTCGCCACAGGTAGACATCTCCGGCAAGAATGCATGCGTGCGCACAAGTAGGCAGGTAAGCATGTCAGATGTTATCGTATTATTATGGCCAGGCTAATTAACAGTGCTGTTTCGCAATGAATTCCATCGGCATTTATCATACGCCACCTTCCGAAGCTGGGCTAGGCCAGGTCGCGACAGAAGCACAAGCCCCAGCTTCTCCCGACAATCCAGTGAGAGAGTGGTTAGCAGTGTTGTTCTTGGTCTGCCTATCCTTCCCCGCAAGGCACCAGAAGCAGCAAAATCGAGAGCGACCTGTGGCGGTGCCCCTGATGGCATCCGGAGCACATGCCCCAGGAAGCTCCATCGCCTCGCCGCGATCTCCTTGGAGATGGGTTGGGTGCGACAGCGGTTGTAGAGTTCCGTGTTTTTGATTATATTTGGATACTTTATACGGAGTAGCGAGCGGAGGTGACGGCGGTGGCAAACGTCCAGAGACGTTCTGAGTGCCTCAGTGAGGCCCCAGGTAGCGCAGTTGTAAAGCAAAATGCTTAGAACGTAGCAATTGTACAGCCTCAGCTTCAACGTTAGGGAGATCCCTGATGACTGTAGAAGGCTTTGCATCCGGCCAAATGACTGCGATGCCAGAACCATTCGGTGTTTGATGTCCTCGGCAGTACCAGCTCTCGATCCAACCGACTTTGCCATCCGCCATTCTTCTTTCCCTCTTTTTTCCAGGTCTGCATCGAGGTAGAAGTGGGTCCGTTCAGTTTTCGCGCCGTTGACCATCAATTGGTGTTCTGGCATCTTCAGCACGCATACGTCATGGGTTTGTTCAAGATTTTGGTCATTTTCATCGAGGAAGTCAAGATCATCTGCGTACTGAAGTTCAGGGATAGACGGTGCTAGGCCTGTACTTTCTCTTCGGAACTGATGTCTCAGCTGCTGCAGAACATGTTCAAAGTAGCACGTAAACAGGACAGGGCTCAGGCAATCTCCCTGTGGTGTGCCAATGCCAGATTGAAAGGCGTCTGCAGTCTGTCCGCATACTCGAACACTGAGCGTTGTGTCTACAAGCAGCGTTGAGACCATGGCTCGAGCATCAGGTACGCCAGGCGCTGCAGTGAGGATTGATTCAAGCAGGCTGTTTCTATGCGGAGTGTCAAAGGCCTTGGAGAGGTCGATGCCCAGCTTGTTGAATGACCACTGCTTATTTTCTACTAAACTGCTGAGAATACGAAGAGTGAATACAATATCACTCGTCGACCGGCCTGGTCTGTACGCACTCTGTGAGGATGGCAGGTACTGTTCCACCTGGTGTTGAATCCGTCGCAGTGTGATACTTGACAGGATCTTTCTAACTGAATTCAGAAGAACAATTGGACGAAGGCTGCTACATGGACCCTTGGGTTTCCCCGGCTTCTGCAGAGGTATCAGCACGCCAGCACCAATCGCAGAATCTGGTGTCGCCGACTCTACAGAAGTTTGTAGGATGTGAGCAATTGATGTACATAGAGGCTCATTGCAGGCATATTTAAGCATCTCATTGGGAATTCCATCTGGCCCTGGTGACTTGCCATTCCTCAGTCTGCGTATGGCAGAGGCCACTTCTGCTGTCGTTATGTTATTGGTTAGAGTTGTTGTTTCCTTCTTTAACGGCTTACTGCTAGAGTCTGAGAACTGCCCACAAAAATGGTCTGAGACTCGCCTGGCTTGCTGTGCTGGGTTGCATATTCTTGCGCCGTTCCCATCATCAACAGCTATACCAGACCTTCTCAGCCTGCAGAGGGCAGCAACAGAAGCATGCATTTTTGAGGTGTCGTTTTTGATACATTCTATTTCCACTGCCTTGGCTTCCAGACGGTCTACTTCACATTGCTTGACTGCAGCACTCAGCCGATGGAGCAGGCGATTTCTTTGCGTTTTCAGAGCAGTTTTTTCCTCGACATTTGGTGTTGCATTGATCTGGATTCGTAATTGTTTCTGGCGCGTAGATAGATCACTGATCGTTGGGTCATCGGTGACATAGCTGGAAGACTGCCTTCCACGGGTGTCTTTGCCCAGGACAGCCTCCGCTGAGCACTTGATAGTCTCTGCAAGCTTTTCCCATGTCACGCCACTGTCCAGGCTGGATATTGCATGCGATATTGAGTCTCTGTACACTTGCTGAAGGCTGGAGTTTGTGGAGAGCTTTTCAATTGGTATGCGACCTTCCTTCTGTTTACTGCAGTAGTGGCTGCTGATGGCTCTTGATGGCTCCACCATGGTGGTCACCACCATCTTGTGATCAGATGCCAGTTCACATCCCGCATAAGCTCTACTGTCTTGCAGTCCATGGCATATTTTGTCTGGGATCAGCACATAGTCAATTTGGTTATAGATATTTACATTTTGTTGATTACGTCGGATGGTGCCAGTCCAGGTAGTGATGTGTCTGGCAGGGTGCTGAAACGTAGTATTTGCGAGTCGCATGCCGGTTTCCTCACAGCTCTCCAACAGCGCTTCCCCGTTCGAGTTCCTTCGACCGTTCGCCCACCTGCCTAAACAAGTGTATGCGTCGGATGCGTGGCGGCGGCCGACCTTAGCGTTGAAGTCGCCTCCCACGAGCACGAGTGTTCTCTTGGCAAAACTACGAATTAGAGTGAGCAGAGCGTCAAAGAGGATTCGCGCATAGGTGATTTTCGAAAATTCGCTTTACGCCTAGCGACTGCAGACAAAACTAGATCACCATAAAATTGCAAGAACTCGACGACAGATTCTAATAATATGTGGCAAGTTGTTGCTACCCTAGCAATGCGGACGTCAGGTAGATGTACCGCCATGATTCCCAGCCGCAGTTCTAAAGCCATCTCCTTACGCTTTCGACACAATCGCCGGAAAACAGGGTTTTTGTTCAACTGGGCGATCGCCAAAGACAACCATTCAAACCCATAGTTAAGACATTTACCCGTTTTAGTGACCTTTACTAGGGCCTGGAGAATGGTGCCATCGCTGCATAGCAGAGCACGTGACAATTAGAAAAAATGTGTGACAGAATCCCATAGTAGGCACAAAGGAGGTCTACGGAGTGTCAATAGGTTTTTCATTTGACCCGACGAGACCACACGACGCCTGCAGATCACAGCCGTGGAGTGTGGCTGGTGAACTGTTCGTGCTGTGATCTGCAGGCGTCGTGTGGTCTCGTCGGGTCAAATGAAAAACCTATTGCTACTATTTGACGGACCTATTGAAGATGGCAACAAAGAATTATTTACGGAGTGTGTTGCAACTCCGGGTGTCTTGCACAACGCAATCATTAGGCGACTTCGGACCATGTTGTGGCTCACTAGGTTTAACTGCGATGTACATGTATGACTACAATGCATTCCTGACTAGTGCCTGGTCGACAATAATGTGATACTACTAGTAGTGGCTCGCCACCCATACTGTGATACCACTAGTGCTTTTACCGTCCTGACCGATTTAGAGTACATACTTACACAACGGTGATACACCTTGCCTACTTTTAGCCTTCTGCTGTTCTTCTGCTCTTTTATCCCTCACTACTGAGTACTGGCACATTTGATTACGACAGATTATTATTATGTTATGTCACCCCCCCCCCCCTCCCCACCCTTCGCTATCATAATATTGGGCAATGATCCCGTTTGACGTTGCGAAGTAAAAATAAGGAATACAATACAATACAAACTTGACAGAATCACACAAATCATGCTGGGTCCCGGACCAGTCACAGATACACGAGCACGCCAAGCTAACCAACAACGAGAACCTCTGTCAAGTCCACTGAGCTGCACGGGTTAATCAGGTCACACACCAGCGATCACCCCACACTTTCCTAGCCACATCTTTGTCGTGGAACGTGGGAAGAAGTAGGGACCTGCACGGTAACAACTAATGAAAACTGTGCTTGGGATGGCAGTCGTGAGTCAATATGCTGTCAGTTAATACGAAGCGTGACTTACCAGTAACAGTAACTAACTACCTCGTCAATAGATTAGCATATGGAAACGTATCATAGTTCACCTTTCTCCTCAGCTTTGTGTGGCGGAAGGCACGAGATATACACGAGATCGCCGTCCAAACCAATTGCGAGTCTGCAGGAACTCCGCGGTACAAGAAAACGTCATCGAACCGAAGAGCTGGTATAAAGCCTGGGCGAGTTGGCGGAGCTGACAGTAGAGCGAGAGAATGTACCCAAGCGGAGCAGATAGTCAACGGAACGGCCGAATTGCGGGAAGGAACTACGTGGATATGGACGGTCGGCTGTTTCTCGTTCTGGTGGCGACTTCGCTCATGTCTACTGGTTCGTGTAATGACTGTATTTGGAATCTGATGATAGAATGTGATCCGGCAGCCATGCTTTAATTTGAACCAGGGACGCTTTACACAAATTACGCTCGTGTTCGCATGCTGTTGTTACCCACTTATTAACTATTGTTGTTTGGTCTACTTCTGACAAGGCAAGTAGTAATATTGCACTCCAAGTAAGGCGCCTCCAAATGCTTTTCCCATTACGTGACAAAGGAATACCTTTCATGACGATGTTTCCCATCCCGGTGTTGTTCTGTTTTGGTGATAGCACTGGTCGCATGCGCAACGGACAGTGTGAAGGTTATCGAACACAACAGCGGCAAGTGGTTCGACATGGACCGAGGGCGGCGACTAGAGGGCTGGCACGACAGAGCCTTGTCACGGGCACTCCGCCACGTGGTGATCGCTCCTAAAATGAAAGTGCATGATAATGGCTATATCGCTGTGGAGATCACCCTCCATAAAACAGGTTAGTGCGAGACTCCTACTGAGTCACTCGTGTTTGTTAGAACCGTGGTCCGGTATGGGCAAAATCTCTCCCAACGTAATGCCGTAATAGTATCCCATATTCTCTCTTGCTTGTCCCCCCAATGTCCTAACAGTACCCGTTCGTTTGCCTCTTATTATTGCTGCTCTCCATCTATGTCACACATTGGTCCGTTTTCTTGTGTCTCCTCTTCCGTAGGTGGTGACGGCATACCCAGTGACGCTCTCCAAGACGTGAGTGTGGGAGCCTTCTTTCTTTGGGAGTTCCCGGGCGTGCCAAAGAGGAAGCTTGAATGCGTCGATGTTGGCCCACCGCCGTATCCGGGCAAGTTGATCCCAGAATGCTAATAGCTTGGTGTAACCGGGAGTCCTTTTGTTTGTTTTGTGTTTATTTGGTGTGAAGTGGTAGAGCGCTCTCCTTATAAAAGATAGAAGTCATGAACAATGGAGTGAATTTTGGAAGGTGCGATTAGTTGTCTAGAGCGTCCATGTACAGTGTATGTACAACGACTCGATGCAGCGTGAAACGTTGGCCTAGAGCGCATGCTGCATCGATCAAGACCTGCGAGGAGACGTGAGTGAGTCTTGCGTAAGATTTGTATTCGTCGCCATCATGGTCGGCGCTCTGCCAAGAAAATAAAAATGGCGACCATAGCACGAGACACCTGTGCCACGCGGTTCGGTTTTGTTGTGTGTTCGGCATCCATATTGTTTTTCTTCGGTCACGAGTTGAAACGATGGGAGATGCAAATCATGTAAATCGGGCCTTTTGCGGTTTGAAAGTCGTCTCTTGAAGTCTGAGTCGTCACCAGAAGTATTGTAGCAGTGAAAAATACTCCGTTGACATGTGATCCGTACAGTGCGATACTTTTCCACCACCAGAATGGAGCTTCAGATGTCAGTTTGGTTGTAAACCAACATGCCGCTGAACGGGGAAAGCGGACCGAAAAGTAACCAGTACGTTACACCCCATCCTTCACCCGTCGTCCTCAATGAAATCCGGCAGCTGGACTATGCTGGTTCTGATGGAACTGTCCACGATCAGAGACGACGCGGGAGAATGCTGCGACCAACTAACTTCGCTTGTAGAAAACAGAACGCTCGATGACGGATGTTCCGCTCCGAACACATCGTTGTCAGTGAACCAAGGCAGTGCTATTGTGGAGACCGTGTCGATCTGAGTGAATCAAGGCAATGTTTATACCTCCTGCCATAAACTACGCGCGGTATTGATTACTTGCACGTATCGAAGTTCATAGACGCTATTCATTGATGTCCTTTACTTGCGAACTTCATCTCTTCCTCCACAGGTTGCTTGGAGCAGTTTGCGCAGAATGGCACGACTAGGTGCACGTTGTCGCATCGTGGTGTGCAGGCTCCAGCCGGAGCATCCGTGGTGACAGTGAACGTCTCTGCTGGTATGGTCCGCACAACCAATCTCTATAATGATTTATATATGCACGAATTCCTTATTTAAAGTTATTTTGCTAAATTTGCTTCGCAAAGTCAAACGTGATTAAATTAAATTAAATTAAATATGAATGATGCTGGCGAGATGGATGCGTCAGGGGCTATACTCAACCTCCGTCAGAGGATTCCGAGTTCAATGTGTTTGGTTATGTTTGTTGTTGTTGTTGTTGTTGTTGTTGTTGTTGTATACTTTATTTACAGGGGAAATCAAAACAGGCATATCATGCGGCCCTATAACAATGGACCCACTGTACTTTGTCTGCAAAAGATTTGCAATTACTACTGTATGTGCTCCTTGGCATGGCTTGGATCTAGTCTGAATCGCGAATTCAAAAACCTCCACTGCTTGAGCTGACCTCCGTTTCATTTCTAAACTAGTTCCCGCTTGTCTTTCGAACCTCGCCTGACCAATGTCGTGCCTGCAGTCAATTCAGACAGATTCTTGGCCACTGTCCTTCAATTGATCTCTATTCCTCTAGTATTCAAGCCCAACGGCTGTGGTTACTCGCTGAAAGAGGAGCTGAGACGATGCGAGCAACGAGGATGCGCAGTCCACAGTATCTGTCCACGAACAGTGCTGAACCTCCCAGGTAAGAATAATTACGGGCTGTGAAGGTGGATTCTACATAGTACGAGTCAGCGTTGGCCTGTTATTAAAACTTCTTTGGAATGAGCACTAGACTGGAGAGCTTTTTATGATCATCCTGTTTACATTGGAGTTTCCCCCGCCTCTCCTCAAGTGTCCTCTAGCTAAGTGCCATTCTCTGTCGCTCTATATGCTTACTAGTACTCTCAATCTATCTCTCTACCTACCCCCCCCCCCCCTATCTCTCTCTCTTTCTCTCCCTATCTATTTATTTATCTATCTATCCATCTCTCTCCCTCCCTCTCTCCCTCCTTCTCTCTCTCTCTCTCTCTTTCTCTCTCTCCCTCTCTCTCTCTCTCTCTCTCTCTCTCTCCCCCTCTCTCCCTCTCTATCTATCTCTCCATTCATCTCTCACTTTCTCTACCTCTCCCAATTGCTCTTTTCGAGACTGTTTGTCAAAGTGGCAATTGGCTTGGTGGTATTTCTTCAGCCTAGCAACAGTCAGCAATGAAGAGTAGTAGAGCTCAGATGGTGACTCTCTTGCCCAATCTTCCCGTAAAGGCTCGATCTACTACCGTTTTGTTGGCTGCCTTCTAAAATGTGCATCGGTGCTGTGCTTATTGTACCATGTGTCCTGTTACCAGGCGCACCGGAGATTGAATTCAAGGATTCCAAGAAAACTGGAATTGGCCAGGCGATGAAGCTCCTCCGCTTCAGAGTGATCGGCTTGTACGGTCGCTCAGTTAGATCAAAACCCGGTAAGACATTTTCCTGTATGGAGCTTGCAGAGAACCGCTTTTGCAGTTTTGGCACCATAGAGTGACTGTAGCTGTGCGAAGCAGTTCTGAGACAGATACTATCGTACTAGTGTAGTGTAAGCATCCGCAGACCTGTGTCCTAACTGACTGTATTGCAGTCTGCTGCATACTACTAGGCGTCCTATGCGTAGGGGTACGGACGGCCCAGTGAGCTGCTGAATGACGCAGCCTTCTAATAGTGACAACCAGACCTGTCACAGCACGCCTCATTATCGCACTGTTTGGTCAGCGCACACGTGCCATAACTTGCCCATAAGTAGCGCTAGAGAACGACCAAAGCCTTCAGTGATCTGCTATGTCAAAGCTTCAGTACACAACCCGGTTACACCATGTTCTATCACGGGATTGTTACTGCCTCTACCTGCCTATCTGTGTGTTAAATTTCGAGGATTCTCACTGCAATGCGTGTATTTCCACAGATTACCGTGGACGGCCGCCGCACAGTCGGATCGCCTTCATTCGCCACAAGGGACTGGCACCAACGATCAGCTGCTTCGGAGGGCTTCCGTGTTGCGAGCTGCTGGGTTCAACACCGGCGCGGGCCAACACGGAGAATGTGTATGCCAGGATACGGTGTGGTCGGAAAAACCAGGACGATTATCCGTACTCGTTCAATCTGACCGCGCAGAATGTCTACGGCAAACAGGTGGCTATAGTTCGGGTGGACAGGGATGGGGGAGTGCATATGAGGATCACGAGATAGGTGAACCCGAGTGTACCGTCCAGGAGCCGTGATCACGGGGAGGACTTGTCATACGCTCATACACGACAAGAACGTGAAGAAGATGGTCGTAATCACGCGTTTGGTTTCCCTAGCACCCGCCAGTTGTGCACCGTCATGCGTTTTTAAAACCTGTTTTGCCCTTTTCCTTCAATTTCTGTTATATTCCCTCTGCGAGCAAGCACGTGAGTCAGAAAGAGAGAGAGAGAGAGAGAGAGAGAGAGAGTGAGAGTGTGTGTGTGTGTGTGTGTGTGTGTGTGTGTGTGTGTGTGTGTGTGTGTGTGTGTGTGTGTGTGTGCGTGTGTGTGTGTGCGTGTGTGTGTGTGTGTGAGAGAGAGAGAGAGAGAGAGAGAGAGAGAGAGAGAGAGAGAGAGAGAGAGAGAGAGAGAGAGAGAGAGAGAGAGAGAGAGAGAGAGAGAGAGAGAGAGAGAGAGAGAGAGAGAAAGAGAGAGAGAACTGCCGAGAACTCCTAGCTCGGTCGTGAAGAACTGCGCCCATCCTTCCGTGACGAGATGCCCATACTACTGCACTAAAGTTTAGAGCAGTGGCGGAAAGTTAGTCGCCGTCTCGGAGACATTTCATGGACTTGTCCGTGGTGCACCAACACCACCAGCGACGTTCACTGTCTTTCCCAGGAAAAAATAGTTAGAAACTTTTAAATTAATTATTGAAGAGGCATGATCTACGTATAGCGTTGAGAGCATGTGGTATATGAGGAGATGTACTCCATCTGTTTGGTAGAGTTGCGTGCGCCTCACTGTAGCGGAATTCCGTTGAATGTAGCGTCACATTGTACTGTATTGTGTTTTCGTTAGAAGCTTACCTCTGGCACACTTTTCGTCATTTCTACTCACAGTTCTGCACGCTTACAGCCATACATGTATGTTCAAGCCCAAGGCTCTGCTCTAGACTATTTCTCTGTCGCTTTCTTTGCTCGCCTATTGCTCATCACTTCTTTTACAGATTTGTTATTATGGAATGTTTGGAAACTCCCTCGATAGCCGAAAGCCTTTGGGGAATCCTTAAACAAAAACAAAAAAAACCTTACCAGAGGTTTTAGATTATGGGGCTAACAGGCATAGGGAAGCGATGAGAGATGGGGGGGGGGGGGTAAGCGAAGTCATGCCCATGTAGGCTGTAGACTGGGCACAATGGGGACAGAGATTGATGATATACGTGAACAGTGACACCATGGGCAAAACTGATTGCAGGATTGGGGATCGGTGATTAGTAATAATGGAGGGTATAGAGAGCCAGAAGGGCTGTGTAAATAGTAAAAATAGAAAAAAATATATAAACAAAGAGCATCATGAATGTCAATGTAGGGAGTCTGTGCCCCATAGCCAGAGGCTGCGACGCAGATGGTGGTGTACATTGGCCGACAACTCGGAGGGCTTTAAGGCGATGGAGGCTTGCTGAAAAGTGAAGCTGGGAGAGTATTCCAGGTGTCAATGATATTATATGGGAACGAGCGCTGCAGGTAGTTGCGAGTGGTTCAGGGGGAGGGGGGGGGGGCGAGACAATCTTCATGAACTAATCCAGGTGACCAGTAGTGTGTGGATATGCCATAGGTGTGAGCTTGGCGCCCAACACAACGAGCAACTACGCACACATGGAAGACAGGCCTAGATCAACAGTAGGCCCTTCCAGACACCTTCCACGGCACTGGGCAGTGGGCGTACATCACGTTCCAAACCTCGGGTGGACTAATTGTGCTCAGTACCACCACCATGTCCAATCCTCTATTCATCATGATAATGTGTTTAGAGTGTAAAACGGAAGCATACTCCCTGATGAAGACCCAAGGCCCAACATTTGGAGATATCAAAATCATATTAACGGTTGTAGTGTAAGACCGAGGTGGCGAAGAAGGAGACTGAGATGTGATTAAGTGGCCGCAGTGGAGCCTCCGCATATTGAAGAGAGTATAGAAGCTCGTAAACGATGAAGATAAACCAAGGTGAACTGTGATTGAGAATCATTCATACATGTAACATGGTCTAGAACAGTATTACCGCAAGTAAGATAACCGATCTCGGGCAGACAGGACCTGTGGTCGCTATCCCAGGATAACGTGATACATAGGTTACGTGACGTAGCAGTGGAGCGTGTGCAGGACTAGCTCCACTACTGTGACAACACTGTGGTGGTTTGTGGTAAGCCCAGAGCACGTACAGTAAAACCTGTGACTAACGACCACCCCTGCCCTTGGGGCCAAAGAAAGTGGTCTTTAGTGGCAGGTGGTCTTTAGTTAGAGGTTTGTACACCACAACCATTATAGAATGCGAGACCATCCGTGCCTGGGAAAGTGGTCTGTATTACCAGGCTGGTCGCTAGTCACGGTGGTCTTTAGTTACAGGTTTTAGTATTTACTGTATGTGTTGTTCCTCCACTGTTTCCGGTTCACGATTCCAGTACTACCCCCTCCTCCCCCCCCCCCCCCCCGAATTCACTACCTCAGTAATGCGCTTCTAGCTCTGTTTTAAAACACGCCTGTTACTATCCTTTCTTTAAACGTGCATGATGTCAACCTCAGCGTGATGCGCTGTGCGGTGGGATGGGAGTCCTCGCATGGTGCGCCTGAAGTTCGCCACCAGTACACCACGCAGTGCGACGAGGTAAGAGTGTTGGCGATTCCGAGGTGCTAGAACTGGCCTGATCCCAGTGGCTTCGACCTTGAACAAAAATCATCATCGCTAGCATACGTAGACTGATGGCCCTTGCCTCTTCCCCGTCACCCAGGACTTGCAGTGTCGATATTATCTGCACCGTTTGTCTTACATGGCTACGGGTATGGTCCGATGGATGCATGCTGTTTCACCTAAGTAAATGGGCATCACGATAGAAGAGCACGTTCGATTTGACGAACACGTCAACAATGCCGTGAAGAAGACCTCGCAGAAGGTGGGAGCATTCTGGAGAGCCCTCGTTGCCTTACAAGAATGTCCAGAGACCAGTACGTGAAATCCGTTGTGATGCCAGATTTGCTCTACGGGTCCATGGCGTTCTCTGGGTGCCTTCGACAAGACCAGCGGTCCCGCCTTCAGGTCCAGCAAAACCGTGCGGCACGCGCCGTATTCGGCCTGCCACCTCTCACAAGCGCCCAACCTCTGCTTGCTCGTCTGCAGCTGTATGGCATCGAAGAGCTCCACAAGCAAAAGACCCGTATTATGATCTGGCGTTGCTCGAATGATCGGGCAAGCAATGCACTGCAAGCCCTTCTGGAGCGTCCCAGTACTCGAACAAGCGCGCGCAACCCAGCTTGGGCCTTCGAGTGCCCAAATCTGCCTCCAAAGCCGGCCACGACCGTCCAACCGCTCGCGGGTCCATTTTATGGAACACTCAGCCATCCGCCGTGCGTTGGTTTACCCAGTACCACCAGTTCAAACAAGCCTGCCTCCCGTTCTGTCTTGCTAGCAGTAGCACCCACTACTGAACACTACAGGAACCTTTGAACGTTTGCGGTACTCCACAGTACCAGTCATGTGCGGTTTACCGCCTCCCCGTTGTTGTATTCTAACGTTAACGTTATTCATTGACTGAGCGTTCTTTGCTTTGTACTACACCCTGCTATCATGTTAGGCTATTTCCTACAATATTTTACTGTTTCCATTCGCTTCCATGTAATTGGGCGACACCGCCCGTTTGGTTCTGCGAATTCAAATAAAAATGTACCTACCTAAATACGGCATCCAATGAACAATAACTTGGAAAACGAAATGAGAATTCCTCTGGAACGTGCGAATACGCCGCCGATGATATGGCCGTTTATGGTGCCCAAACATGTTGCTCGCCCGAACGAGACAGGTTTCCTAGCCGTCTCACGCTATGGTTTTTCTTTGGCAGGTTGATTCAGGGGTGTCATTCCGTTTTCCGCAATTACCCCGTGCCATCTTGCCACTCCACCAGCGTTAGGGGATGGGTGCGCGCTCTGGTTTAGAAGAGGTGTGCTGCATGTGAGAATCAGTATGCTCTGGCATCGCTTGAGAAGTAGCACATATTGGTGTGGTGTGACCTTGAGAGTATTGTTACTGAGTATTGTTACTCTTGATCCTTGACGGGTGTATTGTCGCTGATGTCATCGTGAAAGCACGTGACTATGTACATGTACATGTACATGTATGGACATGACTGATTGTACACTAAGCTGAAATCATGAGCCTTCTGCTGGATCCGTTTACCAAGCGAATCTCATCCCGTATTCCCCTCTACTCATCCAGCTCGTGCTCTCGACTTTGACGGATTGTTCGATCACGTGATTGTATGTTCTGTTTTGCGGGAATTATAGTTTTAGCATTTGGTGCACTGATGCGTGCATGAAACGCATACATAGCCGGCCTTGTTACTCTGTTGTACTGTTACTCTGTTGTACTGTGTAAGGTTAATTTGAGAACTGTTTTATTCACAACACCCATTGGGCCAATCGCGTGAAACCATGAAGTAAGAGTCAAAGGAAAAACACAGCACAAATTCGGAAATACACAGAACACTCAATTGAAATGTAAACTGAACACAAAAGCTTCACAAGAAATCGTTACCCTAGTAAGAGTGCCAACCGGCATGCAAAGGCGAAGTCACGCCTCTGCCCGTGTCAGCACAGCCTTGGAAAGTTGAAGCAGCAAGAGTAAATAATTATGCTCTGGGAGCTTGTAATACTCTTGATAGCATGCGTAGTAAAAAGACACAAAACAACGAAGGCACAACACTAGTTAGTGTGTTGCAACTCTGAGTTTCATGCTATGCAAGAAGTTAAATAACCAGACGACGTACATGTACATGGACATTATAAAGACGCGGTTGGCCACGCCGGTGTTCATGCTTTTTTTTCATGCTAGGAGAAACATTGTAAAGAAATGCCCCGGACACGATTCAGATCAGACTAGTTTCAGATCAGACTACATGTACGAACCCCTCAGTCTGATGATGTCTTCACCTTGATCATTGTTGCATTGTCACAGCTGCTCTATTATAAATCGCAGAAGAAAGCTGTGCGTATCCAATTTCGCAGTTTTGCTGATTCACCGAAGGATGTGACGTCTGGCGCCGTGCCTGATTTCTTGATTGGCCAGCCATCCAGTGTGTCTTCGCCTGTGCTCCCGTCTTAATTCGAAGCAAAGCAGATTCTATGGATGCTTGGCACTGACGGATTGCAGTATCTGTTGGGTTTGGCCCGGAACGCCGAGGGCTGCTATCATTGCTTCTATCATTTGGAGGTTTGGTTCTTGGCAACAACCAAGGTGCGGAAAATCTCCCAAGAGAGATTTGTCGAACACAAAAGACCACCCAGTGAGCTACTGCGTGTATGCACGGACGAATACAAGTATTTCCTGGTGATCCAGAGCGCTAGCCGCACACATGATTGTACTACGCTACTATGATTCGCAGTCGGTATATGGTCGATGATGAGCAGGGATATTAGAGGTGTCTCCGATCTCGTTCTACAACTGCAAGCACGATCCAGAAAAGTGCCCCCTCCGATCTTCGGCATCTGACAAATTCTCAGTGAAAACAACACCCTGTGACGCACATAGCAGACGAGAAACTGGAACTTCGCCAAAACTGGCGACAGCTACTGATACGACACGCGAGGAGACACGCGCGAGTTACAGGCAAATGTCAGCTGAACCTACTTCCAAAGATTGTGATACCCGACTTCGTCCGTCCCATGGAACGAGCGAAAACCACTACATGCGTTATACACAAGGTGAAGTGTATCGTTGAAAGAAATTGTATATTATTAACACTCATCATTGGCGATCTAAAACAGCCTCTCTCAGCTAGAGCTTTTCGCTGGTGATCGTGAGCCGGACCGTGCATGCTGAGCATACACGAACCATACACGAACCTTCTACGTATCTAATATTGACTGAGTACGAGGTCAATATAGGAAATAAAAGCCGAGTAAAAGACCGAGGCGAAGCCGAGGTCTTTTACGAGGTTTTATTTCCTATACTGACCAAGTACGAAGTCAATATTAGATTTATCACGACAAACAGTC